TCTTGAAGTGTTTGTGGCACAAAAATTATTTTTATTATTGTTCTCTTCTCTAATTCAACTTACATTTCCACGGCTGGGATGTTTTAATGGGAAAGTAATGGTGATCAGAGTGCAGAAGCCTCTGGCGTCAGTTCATCCTATCCCTTATTTTCACGTCGCCAGCCTGGGACAGGAGCAAGAACACTGTAAATAAGAAGCCACTGTAAATGGAATTGAAGCCAGGTTTCACCCTCCACTAGAAGAGATGGCTCTGTTCATGAGTTTCCATATTTATGAAAGTGGACCATTACCATGGTGGGCTTACATAAGATCACTGTGAGAATCAAAGGAAATAACCCAGGCCAAGGAGTTAGCTGAGTGCCTGGAACTTCAACACACATTCTTTACAACTGAGGTACAAGAGGCAAATATCAAAGCCATAGACAAGAGAGTGTTGAGGGCATGACGGCATGTGGCTGTCATCCCAGCTACTTGGGAGACTGAAGCATGAGACTTGCTTGAATTGGGGAGGCGGAGGTTGCAGTTAGCTAAGCTGAGATCGTGCTACCAGCCTGGGCAACAAAGCAAGACTCTCACAAAAAAAAAAAAAAAAAAAAGATACTGTTAAAAGTTTGGGTGCCAAATAAGGGCTGGAAACCAGGTGGGTGGTATCTGAGCTAATTCTGAAAGTAGGAGTCTTGGTACAATGGTTCCCACAATGTAGATTCTAAGATAGCTGATGCTATTTGTTCATTGAACTTTGAAGGAAGGTTTGATGACGTCAGGAACTTTGCAGCACTCAGCCAATTGTGTTGTTTTCCTCTAGAATGTAAAGATTTAATGTAAACAATGTAATAATTTTCACCTAAATATGCCATTTTTAATTTTTGCCACATTATTTAAGTGTGATTGGGTTCTATACTACAATCAAAACTGTGTTCCTCTAGAGTAACACATTGCTGGGCCCAGTGGCCCACACCTGTAATTCCAGGTCTTCGGTGCCACTGAGGCAATTGGATTGCCTGAGTCCAGAAGGTCAAGGCTGCAGAGAGCTGTGTTTGCACCACTGCACTTCAACCTGGGTGAGAGTGAGACCCAGTCTCAAAACAAACAAATCAAAACTACACACATACAAACAAAAATCAGATCACCCACAATCAATTTTATGATTTAATTAAAAATAGGGTTTGTATTGAAGTATCTGTTTCTCTGGAAACTTTTTTTTTTTTTCTTCTACATACCCCAGAGAAAACTCTGGAAGCTTTTTTGACGTTTTACAAAGTGAACATCTCATTATTGCTTAAAATATTAATAAGATCGTTCCATGCATATGAATGCCAGGCAAAATGAATCCTTATAAATTTAAGTTTGTGCCGGGCGTGGTGGCTCAAGCCTGTAATCCCAGCACTTTGGGAGGCCGAGGCGGGTGGATCACGAGGTCAAGAGATCGAGACCATCCTGGTCAACATGGTGAAACCCCGTCTC